ATGGATCTTCTATTTTATTGAACGGGTCCCAAAATAAAATCCATATGTCCCTGATACTCTTACTCCATAGCTTATTTTATAAAAAAAAGAACACTTTCGCTTGGATGATGTTTTGCATTTGATCTTGACAGACATTTAGTGAAAATCCATTTTATCTAGATAGTAACGGATATTTAATCATATATGATTCGCCCTTCCCACTAGATTGATTGTTTTTATTTTCTTTAAAAAAATACTTTAAATATGATTTATGAATTCTAAACTATAATTTTTATCACTTCCGATAACAAATTTTTAAATTTTTTTTTTATAAAAAGAAGTTTTATTTGATAAAAAAAGAAACCATTCAAATAAAAAATCAGCCTAATCTTTGTAAAGACCATTCAACAATCATATTATATCGCATGACCAAAATATATTATTTATAATTATAAATAACCTTTTTTTTTTAAAAAATTTATGCAGTGATAAATTTTTTTTTAAACATGGAATTCATTTTAATTACTATATAATTTAATCGTTATCACCTCTCACTAAATTCTAAGATTAGATGGTGTAATGGTAATGAAAAAAAGAGAATTATTAAAAATTCGTTTTTAAAAATTTTTTTTTATTATTAATTACATGCATGACCCCACTTTTGTTGGCCCCATTTTTGCTAAAATATTATTTAAAAATATTAATATATCCACATTCTCTGCTTTTTTAAAAAAAACTTAGTTTTATGCTTGCAATATTAAAATTCCACTTACATTCACTTCCTGTTTTTCTTTTCATTTAAGCATAAATTTATCTCTTCTTTCTTCTTCCATCTTGGTTTGTATTTTACAACTTAATGAACGTATAGTTAACGATCTCATGCCATCTGACAATTTTAATATATTTATAGAATATACTAAAGATTAACTAGATAATTTGAGAAGTATTTTCTTTTTTTAATGTTATTCTTCTTAGTTATGTGTTATGTTCAGATGATATAAACATTAATTTGAGAAGAGAGGTCATAAATGAATGTCGGATTTATTAAAAATTTTTTCTAAAACAACTTGTAATTTGACACTTTTATATGTTAAGTTTGTGCTTCTATCTATGTATGATTAATTAATTTAGCAAGATCAGAATATTGAGAAAAATATACAATCCGCCCGCATAGATGAGATAACAAATTAAAAAATTTTACACGGGCGGGTTAGTATAATTTTACGAATGGGGTAGCCAAGGAGGGTTTATATTTCTTAATAATTAATTCTTTTATTTCGAAATTTTGCATATTTTATGTTTTTAAAATAATATTTAATAAAATAACCAAAATAAATAAAAACCCGAAGCAACAAATATTCAAATTATTTTAAAAAATGGGTGGGGATGCAAAATATAAACCAAGGAGGGGATATTTTTTTTAAACCATGTATTGCTTGGTCAAAAGTTTTTAAAAATAATAGGTGAACTTATGGGTCAAATCCCCCCCCCCCCCCATTGCAAACCTCAAGTCCAAGATTTTTATAATAATCCTGTTGATAAGGGTTATATTACATAGGGATGAGCTATTTCTTTTTCTAAATAAAGTGATCAAACTAGAAATATTCTTCTTAAAAAAGTAGTTCTATGGGTGCAATATTTTTTTAAATTTTTGAAGAAGGATCGAGTATCTTGAAAGATACAAGATACAAGTATTCGCCATACTGCCCAATCCTGTTACATGTTGTAACCAAGTCATGACTCCAAACAAATTGTAGGATGAGCATTTTAAATGCTATGAAATCTCTTCTATTTTGAAATAAATTAAATAAACTCTTTTTTTCTATTAATTAATTAATTATCGATTTTTTCATTATCAATGTTGAGTATTTATTTTAATCTTCGCCTCATTCATTATCATTCTATATAATATTAAATAATGATGTTTAGTTCTCAATGTTTTAAGATTTATTGCAGAAAATAAAAAATATATTAAAATGATAAAAAAGGGAAATTAAATTATTTCTCAGTCAAAACTCAATAATGGCTTAAAAGGTAAAGGTCATTTATTCATTCGTTTTTTGTATGAATAAAATCAAAAAAATAAAGATAATAGCATGAGATATGCAAAACCTGGTTTGTTAAGATTTTTTGCACGATTTGCCCGAGCCCTTAACATTCTACCTGTTCCGGTTAATTTTAGTAAATAACAAATTTTCGAATCGAATACGAATTAGGAAAAAATATTATTTGTCAATTTTTTATATTATTCGTTTAAAATTATTCGTATAATTTAAAATTTTTTACATTTTTTCATCAAAATTTATCGTAAATATTAAACTTATTTATAAATATAAAATAGGAACATTTTATTTCTTTTACTTTATTTCAACTATAAATGACTTTTTAAATTTATAAATCACTTTTTAAATAATAATAAACTTTGAAAATCTTATTCTAAAAAATTTTAAGATTTTTTCATTTTAATGATTTTTATTATTCGAATACAAATAAGGAATTATTCGATTCATACGAATGCGAATAATACAATTATTCTTGAAAATAAGATTAATGCAAATATTCTATTTGATTCATATTTTTATAGGTATATAAAGACCAATGTAATTCAGATGAATTGTGTAATTGGAATCAATTTTTTTCTAGTCTTGAACCCTAAACTCGTCTCACAGTTACATAATACATATTTTAATCGAGTAAATAAATTAATTCTATTCTTTATAGTTTTATTCTTCCATTATTGGTTTTACTAGAAAAATATTAAATACTAACTGATAGCCCGTAAAGAATGACTGGGAATCAGAATTTTCTCCTTTATTCAAGGATGGATGAATATTAAATTTACCTTTATTCGATGTTGGATGAATATGAAATTTTCCTATCTTATAAGATGTGATTTAGAAATTTATATTTATTTAGATGAGGGGTTATTCTAAAATTTTCCATTATTTTTGATAAAATATGTTTATGAAGTATATATTTAGTAATTTTAATATATGTGCACAATAAAAATCTTTTAAAATTAATTTTTATTCGTTTGTATTTGTAATTTATAATCGAAAACATATATTCTTGCTAGAAGAGTTTTGTGGGGCAAAGTTAAAATCAACAATTAGTTATGCAAAAAAACTCATCTAGCAAGAATGTATTTTTTAGATTATAAATTACAAATACAAAATGAATAAAAATTTATTTTAAAAGATTTTTTATTGTGCACATAAATTTAAATTATAAAAAATAATGGAAAATTATAGAATAACCCCTCATCTAAATAAATATAAATTTCTGAATCACATCTCATAAAATAGGAAAATTTCTGATTCATCCATCATTGTATAAAGGAGAAAATTCTGATTCCCCGTCATTCATGACGGGCTATCAGCTAGTCATTGAATAAGGAAAAAATTCTGATTCCCTATCATTCTTGATGAATTATCAGCTAGCTTTAATATAACTCTTTATATCTTAAAAAAAATATTATAAGCCACTCTATGAAAGGATGATAGATATAGGGTTTTCAGTATAGTCAACACACCCCAGTTCTTGAGACATTTTTTTATTGCCAATAAAGGACATAAATACACACCTTGATAAGATAAAAAAAATTTCATCCAATTATTAAGATTTTTCACACAGAAACAATGTCTCTTATTAGCACCCCTACTAAAAGGACATATAGTTGTGCAAATTTGGGAGGCATCCCAATGGAAGGATATAAATGAGAAGTCCTGTGTAAATTTGTCCATGAACTCTAAAACAATATGGGCCCGGGTTCAAACTGTTAGAAATCTGTGCATCCATCGATGTAAAAGCAAGAGAATTATTATATGAACGGATATGTTTCATAAAGTTTATATGAAATTCATTGTTTTTGATAAAAGGCCTTGTAAAAAGGAATATTATTGGATTGATGGTATTTTAACTTTACTCTTATGATAGCAATTCTTGAATCTGCCATCTGAGGGTTTTTCCAAAGAGAAATTTAGAGAATCACAATATTCACACTTAGTGTTGAGCAAGCCACAATAATGTTCTTGTACCAATGATTGTTGTGCAGGAATATTTATTTAAAATAAATAATATAAATTATAATTACAATTTAGTACTTTTAAATAAAATAAATCTGAGGCCTACTAAAAATTATACATAAATTTAATATTTTTGTAATTAAAACAAATTATACATATAGGCCCGGTATGTTATAAACACGTGCTGGGCAATTTCTGATTCCCATCATCAAATGAAATTTATTATTTATCCATCATTAAATAAGGAATATATTCTGAAAGCCCGTTATTCTTGACGGGCTATCAGCTAGTTAAAAATAATGTAGATGCTTAGTGTCATTTGTTTAGTATGTCCCAAAAATCAAATATCCCTCTCCTCTTTTTACCTATTAGAACTTTTTTTAATATGATAAATATGCTTAGAAATTTCCACTTTATTTGATGATATATAAATCAGAAAAATAATTTGTTGATAAATTAAATTTTTTTAACTTGGTTTGTTTTTTTTATTCTTGGTAGATTTTGGTTTTGTTGAATGGTTTGTTATGCAAATAATAAAATAGTAATTAAATTAAAAAATTTAACTTGGTTTTGTGTTGGTAGAATGAATCGTGGAATCTTTTTAAAATTAAAATATATGTTAACATAAATTAAAATTTTTAACTTGGTTTTTTTTTTGATTTTAGTAGATTTGGGTTTTATTGAATTGTAGATTTTTGTAGTATAAATTTCGGAATCAATTTATAAAAAAATAATACAATTACAAAATCCTAGAAAAAACTTATCATTTTGTAAGAAGTGTATTAATAGAAGATTGTATATAAGATGTTTATATGTTAACCTAGCATGTGGACCGAATGAGCTGTGATGATATTTATTGGACGAATATTTTTTAAACACTTGGCTAAATTTGATTGAAGTTTTTAGAAAATTATATATACAAGATATATATTTTTTTAATATATTTTAACGTTAAGTTTCACATTTTAAAAATCCAATAAAATTTCGATTTTTTAGCAAGATTTTAACGAACCCCAAAATGGAGAGTACAATGAATACAGGCAGCAACAAGAAATGCCTCTGCACTCCCTTAGAACTGGGATCAAAAGAATAGGGAGTGACAAGGAGAGAGGAATATCATTAGGCCCCAAGTTTGGTTGGATTAAAGGAGTATTAGTTGAGTGTTTTAAATTAAAAAAATGTATTATTACTTCAACAGACGATTCACATTGTATATTTTATTGGGAGAGGAGATCATAATAAAAAAGGGAGGGAAGGAGAGAGGAAAGAAAGAAAGAAAGAAAGAAAGAAAGAAAGAAAGAAAGAAAGAAATAAAATTATTTTAATCGATGGTTTTTTGTTAAAAACTCGTTATTTAAATCTATAAATTCATATTTCTGCCCTTTTTTGACAATTAAATAATATTTTTTTTATATCAAAGGTGAGATGTATGTTGAACATATGGGGTGTTATGCTATTTTTACGACTATCTTGGGTGGTAGGTCAATCTGGAGTAGGTATAATAATATTATTTCAAAATGATCTAATTTTATTAATTACACAATTATTTTTACGAAAATCAGGTTTAGCCACTATGATAGTTTTGCTTTCAATTACTGTCACGATCATAACATCTATGTCTATGTCGGCAATTTGCACAAATGGGGACGTTAAAGGAGGTATTATTTTTTCCAAAGAATTAGAAACTTTCTATATCCCTTTTTCAAATAATATGATTTTCCCTCTCTTTTTTAGAGACCTAATCGGTCCGGTTTGATCGAGTTCGGTCCGACATGTTTCGGATTGAGTCGTGCTTGAACAAAACTTTTCATTCATTTATTTATATTTCTAGCCTGATAAAATTAGGGGTAAATGATTTATTATTAATACTTCATAAACGTGTATTGTAGATGATATGATGCCCGATATATAGGGTTAGTTTATAATAAAAGATATGTCGTTTTTATTTTACCTACCTACCACATATTTTAATATTATATTATGTAAGTAATATTTTAATAGATGAGAAGAATTAAAGATATTTTACGTTTTTATATTAAAGGTGGCGCATATTACATGATATCCAGAAGTTTGGGACCAGAATTTGGGGGAGCCATAGGAATAATATTTTCTTTGGCGAATGCGGTCGCCGTTTCCATGTATATAGTCGGCTTTTCAGAAACCGTTCTAGACCTAATTTCAGTGAATATTATTTTTTTTTACAAATAAATCCTCATTATTTTTTATAATCTAAATAGTATATAAATCTTTTCTCAATTTTTATATTGAAATGTTATATTTTTTCAAATTTAAAAAAAAAATGTCTTGAAAAGAAAATTAATCATTGTTATAATATAACCGTTATTTAAGCTGTTTAATGAGTTTGATTTGAAAAATTATAGTACATTGATACATCAGGAAGACCATCTTTTAACAACTTTAACGTTGAATTATTAAATTAACTGTTTTTGGATTGATGTCAATTCGTAATTCGACACTTGGTAATGCGACACTTTATCACTCCGATACCTTATTATTCTCTGTCATTCTACTCGTCACTTTGTACGCGATAATTTGTAACGCTTGTACATTAAAAAAGACATGGTGAAGCACAAAGTTTTGTTTCTCCAAGTTAAAATATGACAACACCCTACTTCTCGAAAAAAAAATATTCGAAAAAGGTACATAATTGGGTAACCAAATTACGGGATCCCGATTCAATAAAAAAAATTTGAAATAATTCCTCATATTTTCTGTATATGATATATACCTATAAATTGTATATGATATGTAATTTTTATAATTTGTGATAATATTTAGAGAATAAATATAAATAATTTATAAATGTTTGTTTCAAATTTTATTTATCTAATAAATGGAGGGAAGGGGGGGGGTGCATTGTAGATATTTGATTTATTATAATAATCAGCAGAAACATTTTGGCCTAAGAAGGTTTGATTTTAAAAATGGCTGGAAAGGATTATATAAAAATCCGGAGAGGACCTTAAAAACAGACTGATAAAATGTCAGAGTGGTGTCGCGATACAAAATCCAGGTGCTAACCGATTCAAAAATCATGATTTTACGCAATTTTTTTTTTTTCAAGAAACCAATGTATAGTTTGATAAATCCTCCAACCAGCGCTAATAGCATAACTCGAATTGAATAGCTAGGCTTTGCTTTTCGTCATTGAATTGAATATTATTTAAACTGGTAAAATTTGGTAGATGCTCTGTTGAATTAGATTGAAATAGACGGTTGAAATTCTCCGTTTATATGAAATGTTAAAAAAAGGTACAAAGCAAGATTGATAGGAGATTAATACAAATTTAAATGTTAATGAAATATAAAATCAGAGAAATATTGCAGTTATTTGCTGTAGGTGAAGAAATGTCAGAGGTTCGTTGTTGAAGTCTTAAGAGTATTATACGGCGAAAAAAATTATAATTTTTTGGACTGAGTAATAAATCCATATTCCAATCTATATTACTTTTGAAAGGAGTTATGAAAATCACTGAATATAATCTTCAATGTTAATTTGGGACGCCAATTGGTTTTTCCTACACGTGTTGATGGTGTTCGTAAAGACCCGGCGTTATCATTCTTCATGTTTCACGTAGTTATGAAAAGTAAACCAGCGATTTTTAAAGAAATGACACAAGCAAAATAAACATACGCCTATTTTTTTTAAAAAAACTTAACTAAGACTGCATTCATAGTGGAATTCGATTCAGCACGATTTAACAGCTGATCGATTTTTAAAATGTTTATCAGATCAATTTTTCTTTATTTTTATTAATTTTATTACCTCCATTCACGATAATAATTAGTAATTATTGATTTTAATAAATAAATTAATAGATTTAAAAAATCGATCAGTTGTTAAACCATTCTGGATCAGATCCCACTATGAATAGAATCTAACTATTCCTATCATTTATTTTATTTTTATATATAATAAATATCCTTATTTTTTAAAAAAAAATGATATAATTTTCGAAACTTATTTAGAAATATGTCGGATCGTATTTTGGGATATCGGCTACTAATTGGATAAGGATTATAGGTTGCTTAACCGCGATCCTTCTATTAGCGATTTCTTTAGCCGGAATGGAATGGGAAGCCAAAGTATTTTAAAAATTCTAATCTCAAATATATACTTTATTGAGCATTTAATACTTATTTTTTTTAAAAAATAATTATTTAGCAGGTGTAATTGGTTAAATTAACACCATACTTAACCAATTAAAAGTCAAAAATTTACTATTTTAATAAAGTATTTATTGATTTTCGAAAGAAAAAAAATGTCAAAATTATAAATATTTAAATAATTTAGCAAAGCAGATGGTTAAATCAGAGAGCGATCATAATATAAATCTTTTTACGCAAAAATATTTCTCTGATTTAACATAAAAACATGTATAATTTATTTGTAATAAATACAAATATGCAGGCACAAATCGGATTACTGGTGCTATTGCTGATCGCCATATTAAATTACATCATAGGCTCGTTCCTTCCTTCGAAAGACCTTCAAAAGGCTAAAGGATTTTTCGGATATAATGGTTTAAATCTTTTTGCTGATTTATACTATTCTTATTTTTAATTCAATTTTTGAGACTTCTTTGTATATAAAAAATTACCGGTTGAATTAACTAAACAAGCACATACTTTTCTGTTTCAAAGCGTACTTGCGTTTGAGGAATTGAGAGTTTGCTAGTTAATAGTTATAAATACAGAGTAGTTTTAATATATTATTCAGGGTGGTCCGATTGAAGCGTCACTCTTTTTCACTTAATCTTAACTGTATTTAAGTCTTTTTACGAAAATTTACAGAATGATAAAAATCTCATTCTTAGCAATTCTGCAGTTCTATAAATAGGCTTAGATTATTTGCAACTTTATTTAAAATAAAAAAATCCAAACATAAATTACACATTTCAATTTATTAAAGTTCAGTTAATATAAATAATAATGAACATTATTACAAAAATAAAAGTATTCTCAAAGTGGCCTCATTTACCTTTTACACATGTGCAAAGACGATTTCTCCATTTTCCTATAGCACTTTTATGATTGCATGATCAAAATTTTCCCATTCTTCCAAAATCTTGCTTAAGATGGTTAACATCATTAATTGTCCTGCTGAATACTCCGAATATCATAATCAACTGGTTGAGGTCAGGGCTGCTTGGAGGCTATAACAATGGGTGATTGAAATCAGGTGTTCCACGTTCTAACAAATGTATGGTTTCGAGGGCACAGTTATTGGGTGTATTGTCCTGCTGAAATATGAAGCACTCGCTAGACAATTCATTTTTTTGAGGCAATACATATTTTTTAATAAGATATCTCTGTAATAAGATTCGTTTAACTTAACAACTGGATCGATAAAAATGAGTTGACTGCTGCCAAAAATTTGAAATACCAATCGAAACCATGACCTATTTTGAAAAGTTTGAATGGCACCTGAGTAGTCGATTAGCACTGACTTCTATTTTGGCGGATGATAAAGTCTATCATTCTGCAGATTAACAGGTAAAATTAAAGTAAATAGATTTTCATTAGTAAACCACATAAAATGAATCAAACATGGATTGAATTTAAGCAAAAATTTCTTAGCACGAATCAAATGAGTAAATAGATTTTCACCAGTAAACCACATAAAATGAATCAAACATGGATTGAATTTAAGCAAAAATTTCTTAGACGAATCAAATGAGTAATAAATATTTTAGCCACAAATCAAATCCTTATGAATATTTTGATGTATACTTTAGTTTGTGATATACCAATCTCTCTGGATATTTGAGAAATCGTCTTATGGATGCCTTCTTGACTCATTACAAGTACATCAACAAATTTAATATTTTTTAGAGTTCGTGCACTTACTGGTCTCCCACCACCATACCTTTGTCTGCTGATCCCGTTGTATCAATTAATTTTGCCAATGAGCCGATTGAGTTCTGAAAGAAACCAATTTCTGTTTGGAAATTCCTGAAATAATTATTTAGCATCATAATGTCGTTTTTATAAAATTTTAATTGAACCTAAATTATCTTTAGTAAACACCATTTTTTTTTATCGTTTGATATCAAAAAAATCTTTGGTTTTTTATTATTTTAAAATAAAGTTGCATATTGTATAAACCTATTAAGAAAAATTTATAAAACATGGAGAATTGTTAAGAATGAGTTCACTCTATAAAATTTTGTTAAAATATCTTAATAACTGCGGAGTCATGATTAGGTGAAAAAGGTATCACGCTAATCGGACCATCCTGTGTATACATCTATTACATATATGGGGATCCTTCGAAATTAATATAACTGTTAAACAGTCGACAAATTTTTAATGTGCAAGCGCTTAAAATATCCAAATTTTGGAAATGTTAAATTTTTTTGGCCTGCTATTTTTTAGCACTATGTGATTAAATGCTCAGCATGGCTTTAGTCTGATAATATGAGAGCTTTATACTAATAAAGAAATTGAGCATAGCAGAAGGAAAACAAGTGAATTTTTTTATAAACCAAAGAAGAAGAGATAAAGACTATTTAGAATTGATTTAATGAGGTTTTGGATATAAGAAATAGAAAACTTAGAGAATCAATTACCATAGGATTTGTAGACAAATTTTCCAAACAACATGAAGAAATAGTATATTTGATTGAAGTTAAAATTGAGATACTAAATATTAAGAGAAAAAAAGGTAAAGATTGATTTTTTATAAAACAAAGAAATGTAAAAAATTTATCGTTTATATTAGCCGAATATAGAAGAAGTAATAGATAATAAATTAACAAGAGCCTTTAAAGTAGATATAGAGAAAAGGCAATTACCATAGAGCTTGTACAGAATAAAGAAATAGTTAATTTTTAAATGATAATTTATGTGCAAACGCTCGAAATATCCAAATTTTTGGGAAATTATATTTTGCCATTCTCGATTTTTGGCTAGCTATTTTTTTTTATCATTACGCGCTACACTCGATCTGATATGGTGTTAGCCTAAGAATATTCCTCTAACCAAATAGAGAAATTCTATTCACCAAAATCTATCTTATCAAAACGTTAAATTCTGCTCACTGAACTCGAATCTATTTGGTCTTAGACATTCTTCTCGGTCGGGTAAATTAAAATTTGTTCAGGGCTACTCTGGACCAAAAATGTATGTGCGATGTTCATTCTGCTTTGTTTTGAGTTACTTTATAGTCAACATTACGTTCCTGATTATTTCACAAATCTCATTTCATTTGTATATAATATATATTTTATTAAAGTTCAGATATTCAAACAAAATTTTAAACCCGCGTTTACTAAAGAAGAGAATTTTTTTTCAGTATTTTCTATATTTTTCCCTGCCGCAACCGGAATACTAGCGGGTGCCAACATATCCGGTGATTTAAAAGTATTCAATCAATTATAATTCTTTTAAATTTCCATACATTAAGTGAACTATTTAATATACATAAAATAAAATGGTAAATTTATTGAGGAAGTTATTTTATAGATACTTTTCTTTTTTTCTTTTATTTGATGCAATAAAATTTACGCGTTAATTATGAATTTTAGTACCATTTTCACCTCTGAATCCCTAAATCGGAAATTCCCACTTAGTATATTATTTTTAAATTGAATAATAATATCAACCATTTCTATATAATTATCGTGACCGTAAAACAGGGATATCGTTTTTAATGGCAGGGAGGCTAAAAATTGCTTATCAGATAAATCTTAAAATTATAAGGACCCATCTTTATGAAAAAAAGAATTAAATTTTGAATTTCCTTCGATATTTTATTTTAATTTACATTTTTAAGAAATTTTAAATACTTTTAAAAATAGTCTTTCACTTTTAAAAGGATAGTGACGCTACGTTATTATTTTCTTATTTAATTTAAAATTTCTTTAATATATTTATATAGAACGCCCAAAAGGCTATACCAAAAGGCACATTTCTAGCCATTCTGATAACCACTGCTGTTTACCTAGCCCTAATTTGGATGCTAGGGTTTTCGGTGATAAGGGAAGCTTCTGGAAAAGTTTCCGATCTTTTTTCTTTTAATAATCTTTCCTCTCTCTTTCCTGGAAATGTAACTAGTGGTTTAATGCTTGGTGCTAATAATACTATCAAAAATTTCAGCAATGTCTTGAAATCCAATGATGCTAACGCGAATAATTTACCATTGGTTTCGACGAATATATTGACTAAAAACATGAGTAAATTGGCTGATTATGTATTGATTAATGGTGATGGTTCTCACTTGTCCTGCGCCACCAATCAACAATTAGATACCAACAATGGTTTTAACATTAATATGACTAAATGTAAATATGGGTTGCTCAACGATTATCAGGTGAATGCAAATATTTTATTTACTTTATTAGATAATTAATTTCTGATTGATTTGTTAAAATAAGTATAAAACTTCTACATATCAAGAAATTGGGAGAGGAGGGCAGTCATAATTATTTTAACGTTTCTAGAGTACTTTATCAGGCTTATTTCCGACCCGATTCGAAATAAATTCTGGTTTCGATCCGGAAATATATTCTAAAAAAAATTATTGGACTGTTGAAAAAGTACGATATTTCCATGAAAACGGGAAAATTATAAGCACTGAATAATAGTTTAAAGAACAGCAAGAAAATAAATATTTTTGCGATTTTATTGAGGTTCGGGTCCGATTAAGCCCTAATTAAAATTTTAGAATCGATTCGACGTCTAAATCTTCCCGGGGGTACTGATAATACCTTCTGGATTCTAGTTGTTTTGTTTTATAGATTATAATCTTAAAGATATAGAAAAAATAATTTTAATAGGGGGAAAGGGTTCTCATTTTTTTTTTGATTGGAGAATCGGGATATAATTAATAACAGTTTTATTAATAATTTTATATTAAACAACGAACGCATTAGGTTGTTGATATGATATCCATATACGGGCCCATCACCACGATAGGAATATTTTCGGCTACCCTTTCTTCTGCATTGGCAAGTTTGGTGGGCGCTCCTAAAGTTTTTCAGGTTCATTTTTTTTACAAAACTCATAATGCCAAAACTCCACAAAGTCTAACCCATCGATGGGGGTTTTAATCGAAAAATTGTTTTAGTTTAAGGTCTTGGGGAATAACGGACAATGGTCTCTTGATCAGTTTACCATCTAATGGGTGATCATTATTGAGTATTTTACTAAGATGCATATAAATTTAGGAGTCTTACTCTTGTGATCATTTTAAATCTCGAGGATTATAGTGAATTTTTTTTAAACATAGTTTACTCGTATTTAATCGAATATAGTATATGTACACTATTGTAAATGAACGCGTTCAACGAAGTTCATATTTTTGAAAAAACGATTAACAGCGTTCCTTTTATTTTTGGCGAACTTTAAACGTGAACACGTTCCTTTTTTTTATTAATCCGAATTTTTTAAGAAAAAACGTTATTTATTAATCAGCTGTTTCCTTTACTATATTAAAGAAATTTAACCCACCAACCGATCTGATTCATATCTGATTTTATATTCTGTATACATAACAATCGTTTTAATTTTTAATATATACATCATATACTCTTTGATAGTATAACATCTATAATTTAACTACACCATAACATAAGTCATTTAAATATATAATAATGATCAGTTATAGTTTACTTATGAACAAGTATATACAATATTTTTATTGATAAATCATTTATTTATATAATAACATTAATCTATTTAATATTTACATAGTAATACACAAATATATTATAAAATTTAAAATTAATTGTTTTTAAATTAAGACGCCATTTTTTCGAACTATAATTAGCCTGGTATTTTAAATTTGTATTTCATAGGTTTATTAAATTATTATGATTATTATAATAGATATATAATAGTTAATATCTTTTAGAATTTATTTATTTTATTGTAATTCTTTGAAATTCTCATCTAATTCTTATTATTTTTAAGATCAAGGGTTTTATAATTTAATTGTTGAATACAATTTAAAGTAAAAATTATAAATAATTAAATTTTCTATGATAATGTTAAAAATTAATTAAAATTTTTTTTTATATAAATAAAAGTATTTTTTTTCTATCGTTCACAACTTGTCCATAGCATAACCGAAAACTCATATTCTTTGAAATAACCGTTAATTTTTATTCTTTTTACATTTACTAACCGCTTTTATTCCTTTTGTTTTTAATAATACTTTTTATAGCAGTTTTTATTAAGAAATAGGCAGTAGAAAAAACATTTGGTAGGTATTTAAAATTTTTGGGCAGTTAATAATTAATTTTCAAGTTTTTTATTGATTCGGACAGTATTTAAAATAAATAATTAGTTAAATTTGGTAGGTATTTAAAATTTTGGTCTGTTAATAAATAATTTTTCAGTTTTTTATTTAATTGGGAAGTTTTAATTTTTTTACACTAACTTTTAAAATGGTTTAATGAAACCAATTGATAAACATTGTTCAGATTCATCTGATCATTCTGAAACCTGGCAATTGTAAGGATGGGAAAATAAAAAACCAAAGATGCTGGTTTAAAGAAAAGATATTCAAAAATTGTGAAGTCAAGGGATATCTAAATAGTATTTTTTTATTTTATTTTAAAAGAAATACCTTCACACCAAAGTTTTTTCCTTTTAAAAAAATATTTATTTTTACTAAAGATTTTACATATTTTTATAGATATTCTTTTTTTTTAAATAATAAAATTATTAATCTTTATCATGAATTCTTTAGAAGTATATTATAAAATATTTTAAATATTAAATTGGAAAATTTTAACTGGGGCTTCTAACAATTACCCTCAAAAATGGGTGGTTTAGATTTATATCCATTAAATCTTATATCTCTTTCTTCATTTTTGACATCGCTTTTGATGAACAACGCCATGATATCTTCTTTTATCACTCCTAAAGATAACCTTCTAAATTCGGCCTTGACAGCTTGGATATCTTTAGCTCCACTTGAAGCTGTTTGACCCACAGTTTTAACACATCAATCAATTTTTGAACCTTTAATTAAAAGTAACCTCTATCAGATGAACAATTAAGAGTTGCCATAGACCATCGAATTGGATGTAACATTTAACTACATACATGCATAAAATGTAAAATATTAGTTGATTACAAAGGGAGACATGGTCTTAATTGTATATAGTCAAGGCAGACATGCAAGACACGCAGCAATTAATTCAGTTATTAGCCGTTCTCTTACGAGTACTGAATACTAAACATCCTTGAGCTTGCTAATTTATTATTAGATGATGGTCTAAGACCAGATGGCCTAACTTCTGTATCTTGATCTTTAGGTAAATCCTTAATTTGGGACTTCATATGCGTCTCTTCATTTCTAAAAAATTTAAATTCTGACCCGGTTGATATAGCCGAAAAGAAAAAACAATTAAATATTCGAAATTAACAGATTTTATTTTTTTTTACAATCATTATCTCTTACCTTGGACATATGTCATGCTGAACCTTAAAATTCTTAAAAAATATAGGCGGCAAAATAAAAGCCCTTACATCAGAATCTAATGAATTTTTTTTAAAACAAAATATACAAATTACCATTTTAAAATATAATTATTCATGTTTTTGGGAACTTGTAGTGCCACCTCCGTTTTTATAGAATGATATATTTGGAGTTTATATAAATTGAAATAATTAATATATATAAAAAGACTTTATTGTATAAATAGTTATTTTTTTTTATGGCAAAAACAATAGTTCTTGTCAACCCACTTTTGGTATATACTACCGGCCATAAATGATTCCCCACCCTTTTCTTAATATTTTTCTTAAAATAAGACAAATAACACAAAATTATCAAATTTATTTATAAGTTTTCATATTATTGCATAAAATTACAAAAAATAAAAGACATAGAAATTAATTAAGATCAAATTTTGGTCTCATCAATATGACCACCTTTATTCTTAATAATTGCTGCACAAATTTTTGGTAAACTTTCTATGAGATTTTTTAAATATTCGGAAATGATATTGTTCCATTCTCTCTGTAATACTTCCCAAAGGTGCAAATGAGAGGTTAGAGGACTTTTTCGCGCTTGTCGATCAAGGTGATTCCATAAAAGTTCTATTGGATGGAGATCGGGAGACTGGGATGGCCAAGTCATCAACTTGAGAATACCGTGTTGTAGATTTTGTAAATAATCTTTGCATAGCCTGGATGTATGCTTTGGGTCATTATTTTGTTGAAATAAAAAGTTATTCCCTATCAAACACTTTCCTGATGAAATCACATGGTCCTCAATGATTTGCCGGTATACCTCCTTGTTAAGGACCTTTTTTACAATGTTGCCGGTTGCCCCGGCACCAAAGCACTCCCACACCATAACAGACCCTCCCCCGAATTTGACTGTAGGAACTATGCAGTGATCGCTCTCCAGCTGAGCGGCGGATATATTGCCTTCTTTTAGAACCCGAAGATTTCGAATTTTGACTCATCACTCCATAAGACCTGTTACCAGTTGGCAGATGTCCAAAATTGATGTTTTCGTTCCCAGTCTAATCGCTTGATTTATTTTTTTTGCTCAAGAGTGGCTTTTTGACCGCTACCGTACCATAAAGTTCAAAGCTCCTAAGGCGTCTTTTCACAGTTGTGACACTTATCGGGTTTTCCCGAGTCAGATTAATCTCCGCAGCTATCTTTGAGGCGACAAGGCGTCAATTGCGTTTACTGATCCTTGCTATATACCTATCATAGCTTAAAATCGTTTTGCGGGGTCTTCCAGGCCTCTTTGGATTCGATATTATATTATTGTTGCGTAATCTTTTAAGTATACAATCGACTGTTCGTCGAGCTAGGGTTAATTCTCTGTCAATTCGGCGATTACTTTTACCACTTAATGGTAAATTAATTATTTTGCATTTAGTTGGAATAGAAATTTCTTTTCTTTTAATCATTTTGGTCGAATGTTCGTTAAAATTTATAAAGACTAAAAGTTTCTTTAATGATTTAAAGCAAAAAAAATCTAGGAATTTTTTTAAAAATAATTAAAAATGGGTATTAATAAGCAGATTTAGAATGTGATTATTGACTTTCTTCCAAAAAACAATGGGCAACTTGAAATTGTTGCTGAAAAAAAACTAATGAACCCTATTTTACCAAATTGGTCATTTTTGACATGTTGTTTTCAAAGGTTAAAATTTCATAGAAATATTTATAGAAATTCCGAATTAATATGTTTAGACATCTTAAATTAATTAATCAATTCGCTTTTACCCAAATAAGTTAAAAAGTTTAAAGTTATTAATTTTTTATGTAAAAATGCAGGGTAGGCAGTCATTTATGGCCGGTGGTAGTGTATAGTTGAAAAAAATTTTTTATGTAAATTACGACGAAAAATTTGTTTTACTTTGAAAATCAATAAATCATTCTTGGGAATATCCTATGTATTGCAAATGTTTAGCTTACAAGGTAATTTAATAAAAATAATTTTATGAGTGTATAAATAATTTATTACTATTTAATGATGAAATATATAATTAATCAATATTTTAATTTTTAATATTTCTATTATATAAAATCTATTAAAGGAGTTTAGATTCATTTTCTTACGATATAAACAAATTATAATAATTAAATTTTTAGATATATTCAATAATAAAGTAACATAAATTAATAATTATATTTCATATAACTAATACATGGTTTAAATCATTTATGTGATTATATTAAAAAAAATATTTAAATTAAAATATCCAATTTAATAATATTAATCCGCAAGTTGGCGTTTATTGATTTATAAAAATTTATTTAAACATATCAGAGACCTGCAGAGGTATTTTTACGGCCCGGCCTGGGCTTAAAAATTTAGGCTCGGCCCAGATTTAAAAAAAAAATTTTTTAGGCCCGGCTCGGAATTTTTTTAAATTATATTCAACCTGGTATATATATAAAAAATTTACCTATTCGGTATTTTACCATATTTTTCGGCGAGTATTATCATTTAATAAGCAAACATAATATCATTTTTTTTAATTCTAAACAAATATTTAGTATACTACAAATTGATACTATAAAAAATTTGTGTAAATAATATTTTGAGAATATACTATATTAATTGTATTTATAAAAAAATAAAACTGATATTTTAATTAATGAAAAATATAACATATATTATATAATAATGTATTTATTACCCATTGCGTATTTATTCCATGGCAAGAAAACTATAATTATATTATGTAATAGATACCATGACTGTTGGCTAGTGTTAACTTTCACCCAACATTATAATAATCATAACTATATATAATTAATATAACCATATCTAATTGACGAATATGATAATTCATGTTGTATAAATATTTTTAAAAAAATTTACAGCCCGGCCCAGCCCTGCCCGAGTATTTTCAAAAATAATTTCAGGCCCGGCCCGGCCCTGGTATATTTTAAAAATTTACCAGAGCCTGGCCGGGCCTGCAGGTCTCTGAAATATATAAAATTTTATTACATTATAAATATCATCCACATATAAAAGTTTAAGTATAAAATAAGTTCATTCGTAATATTACAACAGATTTGAAAAATATAAATAATGGTAATATCAATTCAGAACCGAAAACACATTTTTTTTTAGAAGGAGAAAAAGTGAGGAAGTTCAAGTTCACAGTCAAAATTAGTAAAGACCTATTAGAAAGAAAATATTACCTACAAAATTCGAGAATTTTGTAATGGAAATAAAAGAAGATTTACAAAAATATTTAAAAAAATTTAATTTAAAATACTAACATAATAATAAACACAATAATCAAAATGTATAAAACGCGAGAAATTAGACATATAAAAAAAATTTTACATTGAAAATTGATGGAAATTGACAAACGATATAAGCAAACTCGTCGATCAATAAAGACACAAGCAAGTTTGACAATCAATAAAATATAAACAACATACTAAACCAAGTGGAGCAACGTTCGGTTGTAGTGGAAATGAATAAAAGAGGAAATGTTATTTAACAAATATTTATTCCAATAATATTTTTTTAAAAAACTTATATCCTCACTCAACAAAGAAAATATTATACCTCCCCCATAATTTAAAATCATTCCGCACAAGGAACTCTGCGTTCTCCTATCAGCTTTTCAACTTATTTATAAAAATTTTTTAACAACTTAATTCAATATTCGCTACTTCCTCACCTTCTTTATCAAAATTTTTTTAACAACTTAATTCAATATTCGCTACTTCATCACCTTCCCACGCATCATATTTTTTTCCTCGCCAAAAAATATTTTTCTTACCTAAATTCTTGCACATCCTTTATTCTTCCCCGGCCTTCCAATATAATCCCTCCTTAAGTCCTTCAAATTAGCATTTAAACATCTCATCGAATCCCTTTTAGTTCTAAAGTTATCTGATTTTAATAAATGCTTGTTAGCGTTCTTCTCCGATATCTTTTAATGACTCTATTTCCTTGCTTATTAAGTTAAACAATCCATTCTAGATTCGGCTAAACAACCTTGGTTTACTTTCTTACTTTAAGGTTCCGAGACCACCCTGTTTCTAACCATTTAAAGAGTTTCCTAGTACATATGTTTCAATGTGTATTTGAAAAACTTTGTTTTTCACTATATTATATTGTATATATATATATCAAATATTAATTTTAAACATGGCTAATATATTATGTTAAAACATATAAGGCATTTATTTATATTAAATGAAATTTATTCAAAATGTTTTGAATGAACGTGAACATTTTCCATTTTTGAGGTTGAACATGAACGCGTTGGATTTTTATCAATGAACGTGATTTTTTTAGAAATTTTTATAACACTATATATATAATATTAGGCTCTGTGTCGAGATAATTTATTTCCTGGAATCAGATATTTTGCCGTGGGCAGTAAAAAGAATGATGAACCTTACAGAGCTTATGTGTTAGCGTTTGCGATCGCCGTTTTATTCATATTAGTCGGTAATTTGATTATATAATTTTTAATTGAAGCTCTTTATTTAGAGGGGGGGAGAGGTCAAATATTATATCATTAAAATACTTGAGAATCGATACCATTTTTGAAATATTTTGACTCTTTAAAATCAAAAAACTTGATAAAACCTAAATCGATGGTCCCTCAGATTAAGGATAAAAAACTTGCAATTATTTTCATATGTTTTCTAAACCTTAACAAATACATTTTACACATATTTTTAAATCTCTAGCACAGCTGAATCTTATAGCTCCCATCATCTCTAACTTCTTCTTGATGGCTTACGCGCTCATCAATTATTCGTGCTTCGATGCATCCATGTCCAAATCGATAGGTTAAATGTTGCCGTTAATTATTTTTTAAGTTAAAGACGAATTGATTACTTAATATAATAGTCACCTTTTTTAGACCTCATTTCCTTGAGAAGTTAAATCAGTATCTGTTTCCATAATTATTTGTAAATGCTATTTTATGGGAGGAACACTGGGGGGAGAGAGCGTTTAATTATGTGATTTAATGTAATGGATATAAAAAAATGAATAAGGTTTCAGACCCAGTTTCAAATACTTTAACAAATGGATTAGCCTTTTTGGAAGCGGTCTTTGCCTGGTGACCATGTTCCTCATTCAATGGTGGGCCGCGTTTTTAACCTTTTTTTTCGTTATATCCTTCTATGGCTACGTTAGATACAAAAAACCTGGTATACTTTTATTTAATTTATATATTTTCCAATCAGAGTTGGATAAATTTTTTTTATACATAAATTATTATATGTGGGTTATTGATAATGTGATGAATAGCATTTTTGCACTTAACTTCCAATTTTGCAAAATATTCCAATGATTTTGGGATTTTTCATTTGATTTGATATAATAAAGTAATTTAGCTAGAAATATTTTTTGCTCATATTACTCCGTATAAGTGGAAATTATATACTATCAATAATTCACACATTATTTCATTTTAGACGTCAATTGGGGATCGTCCACACAAGCTCATTCTTACAAAAATGCATTAACATCAGTATTAAAATTGAACAATATCGAAGAACACGTTAAAAATTTTAGGTTACGTATTTTATACATTTCTGAAATTTTAGGTGGGCTGGATTTTTTTTTCTAAATTTATTTTATACCTTATTAAAATATTCACATATTTTTTACATATCTTCTACATTTTTTTAAAATATAGGTTTGCCTTAGAAATATTTGTAGTTTAAGTTGAAACTTTACAATTTTAAAATGATACTTTACTAGTAATGCTTTAATTATCGATTAATATTTTTTTTAAGTTATAAAAATCAGCGTATTCTTAGCTATTATTATTTATAGTATATTTTAACGTGTTAAATTTTAATTTTTTTCTGGACCTGCTACAAGGAAAACTATATAAAATCTTTACCAAGCTGATGAGGACCACATTTGTCTAAGATTTTGTTTATCTTGATACATTAACGCTTCAATTTCTAAAGATGGTTATTTACACTGTCTTGTAATATTTAATATTTCAAGGTTGTTCTGAATATTAAAATTAACTTAACTTTTTAAGTAAATTTAGGTTTGGTTTTAGAAATATTTTGATTCTACTGGATCATAGAAAACCTCTCATATGGCCTTAATATTATGCTCAGTAAGTAGATACATATCAGTGCTTTTTCAACTTTGAAAATTTTTAAAATGGTATCTAAAATATAAAAAGAAAGAAGCGATTTAAATTAAGATAAGCGTGTAATAGGTGAAAAATATTTAGCCCTGTGCGCCTCCTTTCCCCAACAACACTACTAATACATTTGCATAATTGGAAATACTTCACGCTATTTATCTGTTTAAAAAAAATGAATTGTTAAGTTGACCCTCTAACGATGACCACTTCAAGGATATTTTCATGAATGGCCATTTTAGTTGGTTTCCCAAAAATGTGTTTATTTAAAACTACTTCTCACTTAGTAGTTTGCTTATAAAATTTTAATAGTCTAATTTTATTTTAAATAGGCCACAAATATTAGCCCTCACGGGAGATCCCAAATCAAGACCCGCATTTTTAGATTTCGTTAACAATTTCACCAAAAATATCAGTTTATTGATATGCGGTCACGTTATATTGGTAAGAATTATTGTGATTATGACTAAAATAGATTTTTTTGTAAATTTGTCTTTACTAACATTGATACTCACTTTAAAGAAAGAAAGTTAAGAGATAATTTTTATTTGACTTTTGAGCATTCCTAATTCAATAGATTTTGCTTCTTAAGATTTATTATTTTTTTGATGAATGCCCATTTTATATTTTAATTGTTTATAATTTTTGCCACAAAGGTGATCTTTGTTTTAAAGAATACGGTGTCTTAGCGTTTTTTGTCCAAACTTAATTATGCGGACAGATAATACTAAAATATATAAACCTTGTTTCTTTCATTCCATTTCCTTTTAAATTTTATTTTGAGTTTGGAGGGGCATAATTCAATTTCATTTACATATTGAATACACTGTATTTAAGGTTAAATGTGCTAATTGGTGACTAGCCAGAAAATAGTCATTACATCTATTTGACCTTTTTTTCTTCTATTCTAAAAATCAAATAATGGTATTTTATCAAATTCTATTTTTTCTTTTTCAATTAATAGGCTTTCATATTTTAATTAGACAAAATCAATAAATATTTCATTAATCATTTGCCCCATAACTTTTTTGTCCAGGTGATAACCACCACCCTTGGTCATATAGCTCTGGATAGCCCATAGCGTTCTATAGTCATAAAAATTAAACTTTTTGAGGTAAATCCTCTTGATTCTTACCACTAACTAAGAATCCAGATTAATATTTTTAAGGGTAAGTTCAATGCACATATTTCTCCTCCATAATTTTCTTTGTACTTTTCATTTTGATTGTTTATACATTTTTAATCTGTTTTGTTTAGTTTTTTTTTAATACATTCTTTTAAATTCGTAAAATAATAATAAATAACTTTTTATGGAATTAAAAAATATAATAATTATGAAATATATATATCTTTTTAAAGGGGCAATCTACGGACATGTACTTTGACGTTAACCCGAATCGAGTTTACACTTATTTTAAGCACAGGAAAATAAAATCCATGTATAACGCCGTTGTGGCCCCTACTTTAAGGATGGGCGTCAAGTCATTGATTCAGGTTTGATAAAAGATCTAATATCAAAATATATAAAGTTTTAAATTTTAGATATAATATTAAATCTGAGTTATTAAATATCATAATTTACATATGAAATGTGATATCTTAGAGACTTACACTCCTGGCTCGATTAAGATCAGGGTACGGATCTGGTCATATTAATTTGTTCCCAGACTTGGGAAAAATATTAATTTTTAAAAACATTGACTGAGCCGGAATTTATATTGTTTATAAACCTGTGTCGTGCTCAGGCCTTTAAATTTGCATGCATGGAGATAATCGGAGAAAGTTGAATTCGTTCACAAAATGGAAAGTTTTTTTTTGTCAACTATATTTTTATAATAAATGTAGTTATCTGGTTTGGGACGCCTGCGGCCGAACGTCTTGATGATGGGTTACAAAAATAATTGGGAGAGTGATGATATGGAGGCCCTGAACCAATACTTTAATATAATCCAGTATGCATTTATATTTATTGGAAAACAAAATACTGTTATGTGAGGGAATCAAATATTTTACATTATACTTTTAGATTGAAATTTTTCCGTGGGCAATAAACTTTTGATAAGCATCAGATCTGCTAACAAAAATGATATTTATCTTTTTAGGGCATCACGATACAATATTGTATTAATATTGTTTTCAATTTTATGTTGGTAATATTCTATTATATTTAAATTGTTTATTTTATAATATTAATGGTTTTTGTTAATTGTATGATTTATTTTTATTTTAACAATAGATGGTATTTATATACAATTAATATCACATTAACAAGAAAACAGATTTACTTTTTTATATCACTATTTGAATATCTTTTCTTATATAAAGATCAAGAAAAATTATTTATAAAGATGAAATATATTTTTATATTTTACTTTCAAATTATATTATTGAAATTTTACCGTTGTTAAAGATACTTCTGATTTTGAGACAAATCGATTATTTTATTACTACTAGGACTTAATCCCTATAATCCCTACCAAACATATTTAATTCCTGTCTAATCGAACCTAAGAAAATCCCATGGTGGAAGGTAGGGGCATAAGCTTAAGGAGCCCCGTATAATTCCTGTGCTCGCATGGTGTGGTACTGAAGACTATGCAGGGTATGTTGCCAAAGACGAAGAGGCTCGACATGAAAACAATTGTCGTAAATTCCTGCGCTCAAATTATTTGGTATTTAAGATAAAGAGCTGCTTATTGAAAACATTACACATTCTTTTATATTCAAAAATTCGTGCTTTTATTTTATTTAAGAATTTAAATTAATAAATTATAATCATAATGTTTTATTTTAATAAAATTTGTTAGTATAATTGTATTATAAATTGGTAAGGTTTATGTAATATATGTTAATCCATTTTAGGATATTATATTATTAATTACATTTATTTAGTTTTATTAAGGCCTTTTGTAATATAATATTTAAAGTTAACCCATTATTGGGAAATATTATTATATTATAATTTTAATATCAATTAGCCCATATAGTGTAATTTATAGTTTTTTAAGTTAAAGTTATAATTACGAAAAAACTTTTATGGATAGCTATATTGATCCCTCTCCACCCCTTGGAAATATTATTATATTACAATTTTAATATTAATTACCCTATATATAGTGTAATTTATAGTATTTTAAGTTAAAGATATAATTACGAAAAAACTATTATAGATAGCTATATTGATTCCTCCCCACTCCTTTTCTATGATTTGTTGGTGCACTAATTATTGTTATTTCATCCCTTACCCAATATAATATAATAATTTATTATAATTATCTCCCGTTCACACGAAATGTAAATTTTATTGGATGCTATATTTTTTTTGTTATTTTTTTATATTTTAACTGATGCATGTAGTAATATTGTAAACAATTTTATGTTGATAATATTCTATTATATTTAAATTGTTTATTTTATAATATTAATAATTTTTGTTAATTTTATGATCTATTTTTATTTATATACAATTTACTTTCACATTAACAAGAAAACAGATTTACTTTTTTATATCGCCATTTTATTATCTTTTCTTATATAAAGATCAAAAAAAATTATTTATAATGATCAGATGTATTTTTATTTTTTACTTACAATTATATTATTGGAATTACCGTTGTTTGATAGTAAGGATACTTCTGATTCTTAAACAAATCGATTATTTTATTACCACCACCAAACATGTTTAATCTAATCGAACTTAAGAAAATATCTACATATATATTTTTTGAATGGTTAAAATTCTATAAACATACATATTACATTTTTAGCGACACCTTTGATATGCGGTTTGGCCTCGGTATTTTGAGACTCAAGAACGGGTTGGACTATTCCTTCTACACCAACCAGAATACTTCAGCAGCCGCGAATAAAAGTTTAAACGAGCAAAATAATTCGCGCTATAAAATGTCGCTTAGATCATCCGTCACTACGAATGAAAATTACGAAATGGGTAGTAATGGGAAGAGAGACCCTTACGGAGTTTCCAAACATAATTACTACGCTATGAACGGTTAAAAATGATACCCACTCTAACAAATTTTTTTAGTTTTTGTGAATAGTTAACCAACATTCTTAAGAATATCATAGAGAAATTCTTAAAAAAATAACGATTTTAAATCGAAAATTACTTTAATTTTAGTTCATCTATGCTATTTAAGAGGGAGAGGAGTATATTTGTTTAAGTGATTAATTATTGGCTTGTTATTTTATTATTTGTTGTTTTTTAGAGTTATTATTGACAAGTTATAATATTTTGATAATTTTTGTCCACAAAATCACAATTATTACTTGCATTTGATTGATTTATTTTGCCATTCCAATTTTCAGAAATATCTTCTATTAATTATTATTATAGGGTTCTAACTCGACTTCAATTAATTTTAGAAGATACGGATTTTAAATAAGAACACCAAATTAATTGGTTAACATGATAAGAATTAGAAGGCCTTCCGGGATATAAGCAACTGGCGGGTTGACTTAAAATTGATGGGGATGGCAAGCATATTTTTTTTAAAATTAATAAGTAAAACATATAATAAAAATATATAATCAACCAATCATTATTTTTAAAAAAATGAGCTGGCGAGTACAAGGTATTTTTAAACCAATAGGCCTGCGAGATTTTTCTTAATATTATGGGTTGGCATGAGCAGATTAAAAAAATTAACCAAGTGCGGATCCATGAATTTTTTTTAAGTGGAGGGTTAATTTTTTTTTTAATTATAATTTATAGACTTATACGAAAAATTTGTTTTATATTAAGGAAAAATGCCATGAGGAAAGTTAAGTTTTCCAGCAAATTTTTACAATTTTTTTTTAAACGAAAAGGCTGTATTTATTAAGTTAAAGAAGTAGAGGAAATCTTGTATAATTAGTTTTGGAAATATTGGAGTTTTAAAAAAAAGAATTTAGGGGGAACCTCCAAGATTCTTTCCTTGGATCCTGCCACTGAACTTTCTAGATTAATTGCAATTTTTATAAAATATTTCTAAATAAATATTGCTAAAATCATTAAACATTATTACAATAGAACCACATTAAGTTTATACGTATAACAATTTTTTTAAAGGATGATTTGAATATTAATTTAGCACAAAACCAAGTTTCAGATGACGAGTATTTCGACGAGGAGGACGATTTTCTCGAGAGGGGATTATCATCCAAAAAAAATAAATCTGAATTATTCCTGGATCAATACATTTCTAAACCGTTCAAGAGGGTTTGGAGCGGCATAGGTAACGGGGGTTGCGAATCTGAAGGAAAGAAAAGTTTTGTATTGTTATTAGTGTTGTTAAACGGCTCATTTTGAGCCGATTTTTAAAAACGGCTAAATCCATATTTTAGCTAGAAAAATATTACCTAAACCTCGAAATTTCGCTAATTGATGTCTAGACCTTTGTGCCATCTATGAGCAAAATCTTCAGACTTCCGTAATATTATTTTGGATAAAATATTGAGTTAGCCGTTTATTATTGCATTTATTTTAATATTTAGATGATAATTCATCTAGATCCGAATTCGTTTATTTGTCTATGTCCTAGGACTATCTTTCATCATTAATTTCGATAAGTCCTACATATTAATTTTTAGAATTTTCCTTATTTATTCTCTTAATTTTTGATTAAAACATCACTCAAAACGGTTGAGATGTTATTTATTTAAGGCGGAAATGCTTGAACACCATCTCGGAAAATCATTTTTGTTATTATTAAATCAGCTGAGTATGAATGAAAATAAAATTAGCGAATACATCTTAATATAACCGTTTTCATTGGAACAAATACATCATTAGAAAGGATATCAGAATCCATCAATAAAAATATTTGAGGTCCATTATATCGATTTTGCCTTATGAATTTCAAATAGATCGATTGAGTCTAATTTATTTTATATTACAGATTTATCATATACATCATTTTTTACAAAAAAGAATAACAGCTTCCTTTATAAAAAAATTTACTGTTAGAAGATTTCGTTTCGCATAAAGACTCTGTTAAGAGTTCATCCTCCAACTTATTTTTTCGCGGAAGATTTAGGAAAAACTCTTTGCCTTCCTTGAAAGTAACCCGTAACAATAAAGGTCAAGGTTACAATGGTTCTTGTTCTAAAAAAAATTTAGCTAAGAGTTACAATAAATTGTCGCCTTCTATCTCAATTCATACCCCAACTAAGATGAAGAGTATGTTATTCCAATACCAAGAAGATGCCTATCGTCCTCAAAAAAGAACAAGTAATAATATTTTTATTTCTTTGTAAAAATAAGGAACGAACTAAAAATTATATATTTTTTGTATTTAAAATTTCATATATTTTTTTTACACGCTGCTTTGTTTTATTAATGACTATAGTTGACGCTTCAGGTAAAAATCTTTATATTTACTATTATATATTTTTCAACGAGGAAAAACTAATCGTGAAAAATAAATTTATAAATTAAATCAAAAATTATACCTGCTTGGTTAAGGAAAAGAAGCTGTGATTGAGGCACCCATGAGTCCGAATTTGGATTCCAGGGCCGAACAAGATGCAACTCCAAACAATATTTCTACCCTGACACGTAAAAAGCGGACTGCTATGATTTACAACAAAAATATCCTCAGTTCTATCAATCTATTTCATTATAAACAGAAAAAAGGTTACATAGATGTGTGGTGGCTCTTCGACGATGGTGGTAAATTTCAAATTTGTCATATTTTTAAATGTCGCTTAATTTTCTTTTAGTATCGTCAGTTAAGAAAATATAAAAGTTTCTAATTTTCATTTAGGATGTAAAATACTATAGAAAGAAAGAGAGGATGGAAGGAAGAAAGAAAGAAAGAGAGGATGGAAGGAAGGAAGAAAGAAAGAACTAATAAAATGTTTTGTTTTAGTCTGATACAAATAGAAGAAATTTTTTAGGAGCTATTAATTTTTTATATTGGATTTTTTTTTAATGATTCAATACAATTTGATACTATTGGCCACAGGTTTAACCATTCTACTGCCGTATATAATATCGCAAAGACGCAATTGGGAAAATTGTAAAATGAGATTTTTTGCATTATCCAAGGACAAGAAAGATTTAGATATAATGCATCACAAGTTTGTTATAAAAAATTCTATTAAAATTATTTCTGTTAATAAATTTTGACTGAACTAAGAAAGAAAGAAGAAAAATAAGTGAAGGTATTAATCACGATATTAAGTTTTTGTTTTATTTCTAAGATTATAACTATTTCTCTTTTTGTTGTTAAAATGCAGTTTTGGTGCTATGCTAACAAAGTTCAGAATCGATTATTCTGATGTAATTATCTTACCAGACATCCATCACAAACCTAAAAAAGAAGGGTATGTTTAAAAAAAATTCTATATAATTTAAATTAGTATAAGAGCCCCTGCACGTACACGTCCGATTCAATCATCGGATTAAACTTGATCATATACGGATTTGGATTTTAAAATTTATTTCGGACTGGACTCAAGTTCTTCGATAAAATTTTAACTTCCATTTTCCTAATTTTTTTATGAACCCTTAAAATTATTCCACTATCTTTATACTATCGACTTTTTTTTTAACAATCCAGTAAAATAAAATTAAGATTGGAATTAACATATTTCTAAAATAAAATATTAATTTGGTTATCTCTTTGAACTTGAAAAAATTTAACGCGGAGATCTAATTAGCATCTTTTATTAATGAATTTGTTAAGTATGATCTATTTTAACTTTCACTCTTTGAGGGAGGCATTATATTTTATAATTCCTTCGAATAAAGAAAAATATATATAATTCTATTGATTTTTATTAAAATTCATATACAAATATGATAAAATATTATTATTTAAAAATTAAAAGAATATAGTAAAATATGTCATATATAAGTTATAAACAAAGCATGATAAAATTTTTTTTTAAAAGAAAATAATTTTTATTAAAAAAAAAATCAGGTGGCGAGGTCGGGCCAGGATGTTTTAAATATTTGATAGTTAGATCTAATTAAAGAGACGGAAATTTTTTGCTTGAGTTTATAAAATGGAGATTTAAAAGAGCCGGATGATGTAGCTGCTATGGGAACAAAGTGGTTGTCACACATTATTAGGTGCAAGTATTTTTGATTTTTTAGAGATTCAGCTCTATTAAGTGTATCATGCAAATTATTAGTTGGGGCCATGAGGTCAATGCAAATAAAATCCAACATTAAGGCTGCATTCAAAGTGGAGACGGATCCGATTTCACGTCAAAACATCTGATTTGACGGCATCCGACAAGGCTTTCATAGTGATTTTTTTAACGTTTCGACTTAAAACAGATTAAACATTATTTTATTTTTTAACCAATATTCTTTAGTTAAATTATATATGATATATGATCTATTATTTAAGAGAGAAAAAATATAATTAATTCGAAAAGAAGAAAGGAGGGAGCATATTTTACTTTGCTGCCAAAATTACTTAAAGATCAAAACAAAAATATTAGAAATTTATTCTCTTATTATTTTAATAATATTGATATTTTGCCTTGGCAAAATAATATATTAAACTAATATTTATACATTCAATATTTTGTATTATATTTATATGTACCTCTATACTTTATTGGTATATATTTTATTTTAATAAAAAGATATCTTAGTCATCCAATAACTTGTTTATAAAATCAATATTTGGTACCAATTAACCATGTTTTTGATTAAAAAATTCTTTAAAAAAATTTATACATATAAATAAATATTGTCTGCTATTGTATTCAATAGACTAAATATCTACATAATTATTTAAAGTGTCAGTTTAATTAAAAAATTAAGATTAACCTATGAACATCTTTGTAATTTTCATAGGCTGCATTCAAAGTGGAGACGGATCCGTTTTTTACATCCGTTCCGTCAAAAGTCAATCTCATTAAAAATGATATATATGTTCAAAGTGCGTCCGTTCCGATATCTTCCGACCTAAAAATTTATCCGTCAAATTTTGAAGTCAAAACATTTTGACTTTTTGATCCGGCAAATTTTATAGAGCGTTATAACGTTACTTATAATTTTTTAAAAATGAAAATCAATATATTAGATTTTATTGATGCTATTAGAGAAGCCAAATTTATATACGACAAAACAGATGAAAATTGCAAAGATGTAAACAGGTAAATCTTAATTTAAACTGACACTTTAAATAATTTTATAGATATTTGGTCTATTATATATTTTTTAGGTGACGATTTAAAGGCTAAATGGAATAATTTAAGAGACTATCAGAATAAAGAATACAAAAAAACAATAGATAGTCCAAGTGGTTCAGCTGGGCCACCATATAAATCAACATGGCCTTATTATGAAACATTATCATTTTTAAATAAAACTTTAACACCTCGCATACAACAATCAAATTTAACTATATCTAATTCAACTCCACTATATGATATTACCTCGGATAAAAATATAAGCATAGATGAAAATATAACAACATCGAATAAAAGAAGAAAAAAATATAAAGAAAAAATATTTGAAAATTATATTATTTTTCAGGCAAATGCTTTTCTTATACAAACTAATTTTTTAAAAATGACACATTAAAAAATCATAATATCAATTTCTAATAAATCTTATTATTACCCATTCACCAAGTATATAATTTTAATACAATAGCAGACAATATTTATTTTATATGTATAAATTTTTTTTAAGAATTTTTTATTCAAAAACATGGTTAATTTGTACCAAATATTGATTTTATAAACAAGTTCTTGGATGACTAATGATATTTTATTTATTAAAATAAAATATATACCAATAAAGTATAGAGGAATTTAATACATATAAATTTTTTTGCTTGAATAAATTTTATATTTGCCTTGTGATCTTTAGCCTGACCTATAATTATATCATTTTAAGTACCATTTCAGGCAAATGCTTTTCTTATACAATCTAATTTTTAAAAAATGACACATTAAAAGATCAGAGCATCAATTTCTAATAAATCTTATTATTACCTATTTACCAAGTATTTAATTTGAATACAAAGCAGACAATATTTAATTATATGTATAAATTTTTTTTAAGAATTTTTTAATCAAAAACATGGTTAATTGGTACCAAATATTGATTTTATAAACAACTTCTTGGATGACTAAGATATTTTTTTATAATAAAATATATACAATAAATTATAAAGAAATTTAATACATATAAATTTTATAATACAAAATATTGAATATATAAATATTAGTTTAATATATTATTTTGCCAAGGCAAATAATCAATATTATTAAAATAATAAGAGAATAAATTTCTAATATTTTTGTTTTGATCTTTAAGTAATTTTGGCAGCAAAGTAAAATATGCTCCCTCCTTTCTTCTTTTCGAATTAATTATATTTTTTTCTTTAAATAAGAGATCATATATAATTTAACTAAAGAATATTGGTTCATTTTAGAAAATAAAATAATGTCTAATCTGTTTTAAGTCGAAACGTTAAAAAAAAATCATTATGAAAGCCTTGTCGGACGCGGTCAAATCAGATGTTTTGACGTAAAATCGGATCCGTCTCCACTTTGAATGCAGCCTAAAGGTTATCCCATTAAAAACGGTACGATTGTTTTGCTGTCAGGGCGTTTTTTATCTAAAAAAGATGTCGGTTGTAAAATACAAGGAAAGTTGGCTTTTAAAAAAGAAGCACCTTTCTCCATTTATAAACTCAAGCAGAAAATCGCCGTTTCTTTAATTAGATCTAACTATCAAATATTTAAAGCATCCTGGCCCGACCTCGCCACTTGATTTTTTAAATTTTTTTTTATAAATATATATATTTTTTTTAAAAAAAAATTTCTTATGCTTTCTATTAATTTTTTTAAAACTTATATATGACTTATTTATACGAAAATCAACTTATACTACCCCGAAAATGACAAGGTGATTAATCTATTTTAAGTCGATTGCTAGATAATTTTAAATCACTAATACCACAGGGATCTGAACCGAAAAGAATATCGGTTCGGTTCAGGTTCGGATAAAAATAACGGTTCAAGGTTTAGGTTCGGTTCGCAAAAAATAAAAATATCGTTTCGGTTCGAACCTCTAAAAACCGGTTTGAACGCTTTTATATTCAAACCTACATTCGAATTTATAGGGAAAAAAATTTTTATTTCATAATTAAAATAAAAAACACATACATAAAACCTTCATTTTTATTAATTGCGCATTATAAAATAATATTTAATTTATAAATATAACAAATAAATATCAATGATTAATTTTAATATGAACAATTACATAATTTTTTTTTTATTGAACCGCACAATTTTCAAAATTCGTCTCACTCAAATTACATCAAGCAGATAATATAAATTAATTTAATTGTTGAAAAACATCTTTCCACACTAACTTGGGTAGCGGCACTGCCAGTATGATATCAGATTTGATGTGTCATTATTTAATACTATATGTAAATAATTTATATATTGGAATTAATTTTTCTCTAGGCATTATAATTTATAAGCTTAAAATATTTAAAAAATGTTGTAAAATGGCAATATACTAAAATTTGTAAAAATTATGACTGACACTTATCAATCAAATGTGATTGATAATAATCTTTAAAACAATTCGAATATAATTAAAATTTTTGCAATATACTAGTAATAACTTACACATTATTTTATAAGCATATAATTATGATACTCGAACCGGTTCAGAGGCTTTTTAGAGGTTCGGTTCAGGTTCGGTTTGGATACCTGTAATTCTACCGGACCTTCGACCAAAACAAATTATACTTGAATTGATAGCATTAGATGGTCAAATTTAGTTACACCATTAATATTTATTATTAAATTTTTTTAAAAAAATAAAGTATATCAGATTTCGAGTCGCTTATTTCTAAATACAGAGTGAGAGATGAAAACGATCCCAAATACAAAACGGGTATGATAACGGATGCTGAATACCTAGCCTTGGAGCAAAAAACTCATAGGCATATACGGCTTCATGAAATGCTGAACTTATATTCCTTGCATTCCAACCTTATCGTTATGTAAAAAGAAATTCTCTTTAATTTAATAAAGTTATAATAAGGAGTAAATTTTTCTTTGCAATTGAAAACAGTTTCCCTTCATCAAGTCAATGTTAATTATATTTAGGCTCTGCGAAAATTTACTTATAATATTTATAGTAAGAGCGTATTGCTCAGCGATACGACACATATCGCTGAGTATGTTTTAAAATCAAACAAATAATAAGAAAAATTTATAATGTCTGTGCGATGCGATATGAATTACACCGCTATCTCCTCTCCTCTAGTTCCTCTGATTTTTCTTTTCCATTTTTGACGGTCCTGAGCATCAATATATAAGATTCTCTATCACCTTTATCCACGTCATCTTAGGCCTTCCTCGAGATCTTGACACTCCTATTTCCTTCAATGTGCATCTCTTACCCAATCTTTTGTCTTACTTTCCACATGCCCAAAACATTTTAGTTCATTTCCACTTCAATCACTGCTATTCCCTTCCTTGCCAGCAATTTTTCTCTCTCAGAGATACCACACACATCCATCTTATCATCCAATTTGACTTCGTGAGCCACTTTCATTATCCTTGTTTCACAGCCATAACCTAAGCAACTCCTCACACAGCTTACGTACACTTTCCCCTTTGACTTCAGAGAGTCGTTTTTATTTGTTAGAATAGACTACGTCTCTCTGACTTCTTCCGTGCTTGTCTGACCCTTGTAATAACAGCAGAATCTACACAACGATCTGCGTTTAGCATATCACCCAAATAGCAAAACTGTTCCACTTTACCCAGGGTTGATTGCCTCGATATTTGACTTATTAAACGCCCAACTAAATTTTTTTTAATCAAACGTTGTTTGAGATCTAGATTTAGAACCCTGGCCTTTTAGATATTAAAACCGATTTTCATATAGTCCTCCATATTTTGAAGAAAAATAAACTTTCTTTATAAAATGTTATTATTAAAATTTACCATTTACTATATGATATTTATATATCCCCAAAAAATGCATCTCTCTCCTCTCCATTATATGATACAGGACTTTACCTATGCCTCGGAAAGGTACTTGCTCATCGGCTTTATACATGGGATGGCTTGAAATAATGACAAGAAACCTGCCTCCTATTTTATTACTCAGAGGAAATCAACAAAGCGTTCTAACCTTCTATTCTTAATATCAGTTTGCACAACCAATACATTATTTTTAATTTAACGCGTTGCCAAAATTATTTCGATTTTTTTTTTCTTTCTTAAATTATAAATTTAATATACGACAAATTTATTGTTAATATTATTATCTTTTAAATCTCATTATTACAGTTTATTTTACTATCTATTTTATTCGCCTAGTCAATTTTTTTTAATTATCGCATTACCTTTTTTTCAACAAAATTTCTTGTCATTTATCATTGTAAAAATTTACAATCAGTCAAAAATATTTTTTTTAAGGTAAATTCGTTTTTAAAATTATATTACCTAAATATATATATTACATATACACTTGAAAAAAAATGTACAGATTTAAGTTTTTATTATTCTTTTTTAAACATAATATATATTATGCCATCAAATCTTATCTGTCTATATTTAGTTAAAAAAAAGACCCCTAAACAATATCAATTGAATGAAATTTATTTTCTAGTCGATTGAATGCGAGTCACATTATGTTAGTATTGTACAAAAAAAACATGCTAGTATCTTGCTAAAAATGTCGGAAACATCTATCTTAGATGTAAAGGTTTTTTTATATCTTAGATTACAATAAACCTAGAAAACCTTTTACTGGAATAATAAAATTTAAAATAAAAATAAAAAATTGTATAAAATTTGAATGATTTTAAAAAAAAAATTATTTGCATTCATAATATCGGCTTATTTTACTTTAACTAGGATGGACAAAAGCATGGTGTGGAATTAGGTTTTCGCCTAATAGTTATTAATAATATAATCCATATATTAAAATTAAATAACTTGTGACGGGAGCCCTCCATGGCAAAATGAAACTGATGGTTTACGACTGAAAATCATGATATAATTTTTGGTTTTATTTTGCATAGAATAGGTATGGGAACTAAGGTCTGATGTGGAGTAAAGTTAACCTATAAGCTATCCACCAATAAAATTAAATGGATAGTTTTGCTGCTATGAAGCATTACTGATAATGTGTGATTTATGTCATAGGTTAAGGTTAGTTTATATGAGATGGCTAGGGTTATATTATAATATTGATTGTAATTTTTAAAATACATATTTGTTAATAAACAAAATTTTAAGCGTAAAATATAATAATGAAAAATAGGTTGCATTTCTTTTGCTAGCGATGGCGCCAGTGTCATGACTGGGAAGAAATTTGGTGTTGCAAAGCGCCTTTGCGCACTAAATTTAACGATGATACCCTGGGATTGTTTAAATCACCGTTTAGAATTAAAGGTGCCCGATACAATAAAAGTGTTATATGATATATATACCTTCATTACTTTAAACCTTTATTTACAAAATATACGTCATTTTTCATGTAATTGATATATTTTTTGCAATATATTTAAATTTTTACATAATTTTCTAAATAGCTATTTGATTTAATATAAATATAATGGATTATGCTTCAATATATACTATTTTAAAAAAAATAAAAAAAATTTGCCTTAAATTCTTAGAAAAATACAAATATTTTTTGCCTAATTTAACGTGCCCACTAGTATTAAATAGCGCGCAATTTTAGAAGTGCAATATCAAATGAACATTTTCACGAGATATTTGCAAAATGGTAGCAATATAATTTGATTTTTTTAATAATATACAATATCAAGGAAGAAGCGAATATTTGATAAAAAGCATCAATTATTAGTATTTTCAAGTTAAAGATACGTATTTTATAATCAATTAAATTGGCACTATTAATTGTCTAATTTTGCAAAAAATTATAAAACATAAATTTGAGCATAATTATTACACAATAAAATTAATTGAAGCAGAATTATTTTTTGGTTTAGACTGATCCAGGGTTTATTTTGTTTGATTAATTTAATGCCTTGATAATGGTTTTATTGACCCTTTTCTAACATTTGTGCCCAAATTATGTAATAATATCCTCATAAGTGAAATTCCTCTTATACTTCCTATTTATTTTCGCGCACTCCTTTTGTCATTAAAAACAAGACAGTGATATTGGACCCATAACTGTTCGATCGCTCTTTTGTCGATTAATAAACTGAACTACTATTTCCTTCCCAGGTAAGTTTCGGATTCAGATGTTTTTGCGAAGTAGCCGCTCACGTTGCACGTATTTTTTTATTTAATTAATGAGGCTGATAAAGATTTATGTAAATTAGACTTAAGAAATGCCTTCAATATCCGCCTCCTTTCCCAAGATCATTCTCCATGATAAACTGTCTTTTTGGTTCTTTTATTGATTTTTCAATTATTTTTTGTCAAATTACTAGATTCAATCTCTTTATAATCCTCTGAACAATTTTCATCATCTTCCCATTCATAATCTTTTTTGCATTATTAAATAATATTTTTCTACCTAAATTCTTGCACATTTTTAAATTTTCTTCTCCAGCCTTCCAATATAATTCCTCTTCAAAATTTGAATTCCAATTTAAAAATTTCAGAGAATCTCTTTTAGTCCTAAGGTTTTCTGATTTTAATTGGTCATTTGCCTTTTATCTACTTACCAAGGAGACCTAGTATTTCAACCTCCCTCTCGTAATTTAATGGCATTGCTTGTTTCCTTTCCTCTTGGATTTCTTCATAATCCTCATTTATCAAGTTAATTTGTTCTGCAAGATTCTGACTATTTCTTTACTATCCTTTAAAGAGCTTCCTAGTCCTTATGTTTCCGTGTGCATTTGAAAAATTCTGTTTACTCCTGATCTTACTAACTGTTAACTACTTAGAAACGCTGAAAAAAATTATAATGGCCAGATGTGATTCCGAGTAGGAAAAAATCAATCACGAACGATGGGTTCCTCGTCATTTACGCTTGGTTGTCATATTCCTTCTGACATTTGTGCTGCCTGTAATAAGTAGGTAAATCATTTTGGTATGCATATTTTTCTTGTCTTAAAGTCAATGAAATATTTCTATGGCAATCTTAATAGGTTGATTGACAAATTTTGATGTCAGTCGGTTTTCCCAATTGTTTGGATCCAATAACCTTTTAAATAAGAATGAAAAAAGTCCTGATGGCACTTTTTTGACGTCTTGCCACTGCGGTAAAAGGCTTAGGGATTTATCAAGTCTCACCTTATTCCCTTCTAATTGGAACTTTGACGTGTTTGAAGTATATTTAATCTTTAATCCATCTAATCTTTACGGTTGGTGAATCCCGCTCCCCAATGCCTAAAATTCTTGAATCAACAAGGCAAGAAAATATCATTAATCACTGAGGGAAAAGCATGTTCCAAAAAAATATCGCAGAATAGCGAAATCAATAAAAACAGAATAAATTGTGAGAAATTTTTTTCAATAAAAAATCCCCCGTGCAAACCCATCCCTTTCGGAAGTACCGGGCTTTGCAGAACTCTACTAAAAAATTTAACTATAAGATACATTGTATCTTAGGAACAAGTATTCGTGATACTGACAAATCTGATATATATTTAAATAATTTGCATTTGTGATATGTTTGCATATTCTTTAATATACATATCAGATCTGCAGTGCTAGCACTCAAGTAAGGATGAGGATATTAAAAAACTACATTAGCTGGACCTATTTTTTTAATCGATTATGATTCAAAGTATCCAATAACTAATTGAAAAATTAGATAGTATAAATAAACATTCATTAACTTCTCCCATTTATGATTATCCCTTGAAACCATTTTCATAACTAAATTCTATTTCGAATGATGAACAAATTTGAAAAATATTTTCCAGCAAGACCTGAATATTGTGATATTTAATAAAAATTCTAAAACCTGAAATAAACCACTTTCAAACCAATTGGTCCCCTTAATGAGAGTTCTAAAAGGCCAGGTGGTAATTTTATACCTTGATCTAACGGTATTCCCCTGACCTAGGACTATACTTGTATGTATAGATCGGCGAAATCAAACAACTCAGACTTTGTCCCGCCCCATGCCAAATTTTAAAAAGGAACATAAACTATGACCTTCAAGATGGTTATTTTCATGCCCATATGAAGACCTTGGAAGTTTTTTGGGAACTAATGGTAAATTTTAAAAAAATGAAATTATAAATGGTTTTTAACAGAGCTATAAACCCACCTTCTAAAATATGAGTTCGAGATGGGGTTCAGGGTTCGGAGACCAGATGACTTATAAAAATTGTTAAAATAACAGTAACATCATTTTTTTTAAATTTATTTTAATTAGTATTACCATAAAAATAATTCATCATATAATTATAATAATACTAGTAGATAGCCCGTCAAAAATGAGGAAGAATGAAAATTTTCTTCTTACTTTTATGCTAGATGTTACCTGTTATTTGAAAATAATATCCAATTTTTATTCTTTTTACCCCCTCCCCCCTTCAGGCCAGGTTCAATCCATTAAAATAAGTGCTATGGTTTGAGTAAAAATAAATTTAAATCATTTACTTGATAATACCAATATTATTTGTTAAATATTACTGATTACTTATACCTAATGTTTAATATTAAAAAAAATTCCTAGGCAAAGTCCAAAGCCATATTAATTATGAAAAATTATTCCAAGCCCAATGAAAGATCATAATAATTTTGGTAGTTAAGAAGTAAAATAAAATATTTAAATAATCATAATGAATTTAAAAATACAATCAAAATTCAGATTTTCATGGGCCTTGGATTTTGATCAGGTCAATACAGGCCTGCAAAAAAATTTGCTTTGGGCCAATGTCTGACCTATAATTAATAATAAAAAAATTCTCAAGCGTCCAAGCTCATAATAATTTGCAAAATTTTCCCCAAGCCCATCCCAATATAATTTATAAAAATATTTTCCAATCCCAGCCCAACCCATTATAATTTTATAAAAAAAAATTCTCATACCTGGCCAACCGATAGTAATTTTCAAAATTTTTTTTTCCAGGCATGGAGATAGGTAAATCTTTAAAAACCATATCTATTTTTTAGTCTATTTTAACCCAGCTCATCCCAACCAAGGCCATCCCATTAAGACTAAGAGTGAATACTATTTTTTTGAATAAAAATATATTTAAATTAGATTTTACCTGAGGGCCATATAAATATTCTGTGTTAAATATTACACCTATTTCTAGTATTAAAAAAAATTCCCAAGCCAGGTCCTCACATTTGGTTTTCTCAAACCCGCAAAAGACCATAATAATTTTGATAAAAGTTACTTTTGAAACATAACTAGTTACAGTTAATAGTTACATTGGCAAAAACATAACTAGTTACAGTTACTAGTTACATTTTTACAAAAGTAACTAGTTATTAGTTACAGTTATTTTCAAAAGTAAAAGTAACTAGTTACTTACTTTATACATCCTTCATATGCGCATTATTTATTTATTGACTGCATTTATTTAATATAAAAAAAATTAGGATAAACAAAGTATAATCAGTTATTTAAAATAATATATAATTTATTTATATAAAAAAATATCGCAAAATTGAATATTTACATCGAATATAAAAGTATATATTTGCATTGAAAAAAAAACATTTATTTTTCATAAAAATTAGAATCTAATAAA